GAAAAATATACAAACAGCAAAAAGTGTTCCAGAATCTTGATATCTCAAAATTTCCACGCTCGAAAATCTCCGTGCTCTAAATTTTACTAACTGCTTAAGTAGTGTCTATCGAAATATAAATTTGCACGAATAATTACACTTCATTAATGACAGACTATAAACATTATAATCTCGCGATTTTGACAGCATCGCGTATAGTGTTCATGGAAATAGATTTCCCCCCTTTTTTTTAGGAAGAGAAGGGGGTTTCGGCGGTATACCTAAACCCAGCAAAGTTAGCTCGTGGTTATTGATTGATGAGTCATTAATAGCGGTCGTAACTGCTTAAGCACTGGACGTAGGGCTACCAGCCCAGATTATATAGTCAGAATCTGGGAACAAAGAAACAGAACAATGAATAACAGGAACGCGAAAACGAAAGTGTTTCGTTATTGATATGTCCGCGTCGTGACAATCGCCACGATTCTAGAGTCGTGTGAATGGAGCTGTTAACCAGCCTCGAGTAGTAAACTGCGATCCTGGTAATGAGTAAAGCCTCGTACACGCTTCGAAAAATATATCCTTGCTGTCTAAACTGTGTATTTGATCCCATGTTAGGGAGCGAGCTGAATTGTCTCGGGGAAATGGACGAAACCACGTGCGCGTTTGTAATATGACTCGACTAAAGCCACGGTCACGCTTGACGAAATTAAGTTCGATTCACCGTGTTCCAGGAACGAACTGTTTCATAGAACCCGAACAACTTCAACTTGCTGTACGTTTCTTAACTTTATTGTTCGAAGTTGATCTGTATTTCACCGATTTTCTTCGTTACTCGCGTTTTTCTTAGATACGGCAAGTGGCAAATATACTGGGAACGTTACTTCGATGAAAAACTTGGAGAATTGAAGAATCGTTGTAAACGATATTGCCAGCAGCAGGTAGCACATTGACGGAATACAGTAATCGCGAGACTATAAATGGCTTTAACGTCCAAGTTGAGGCAGGACGTTGTGGAGGATCGATAGCCGAGCACGGTGCTTGTACGCAGCGAAATCGCACTCCGTGAAGCGTGTACGGGGCTTAAACGCGGCAGCGTACGATCCGAATGCAGCTTGTTGCTGCTGCCGCGGCGAACTTTGCAACTGTTCGAACGGCTGTGCTCGAACGGGTGGCCGCGCGACTTAAAACCGTCGAAACCGATGTTAAGCAGTATCGATCGAGTCGGAAGGAAAGAGAGGGCCTTTGTACTCGGCGCGTAACTCGCCGTTTCTTTGCCTCCTCCCTCCCCGCCAGGAGGGAACGAGGTAACTTCTTTCACGTTACTTTTCCTTTCGGGATCACTTTTCCTGCCGCGGCCGTAACCCTCTAAGCCAAGCATCTCCGTAAGAAACCAATTATCCAGAGTGAAACCGTTCCCCCGTGGGCCATTTCGCGATGCTGGTATTCCTTACGAGAGGCGGTGTGTATTAAAATAGGAAGCGATTCCAGGTGAAAGGATCTCGGACGAAAGGTCGAGCGCGTTTTCGAGTTTTGGAACGTTTCAAATCGGGTACAATAGGTGATATTGTTCTGGCGGATTTGTTACGTGGTTGTGCTCTTTGCTACTCGAGAGGTAGCAAGATTGGCAAGATACTCGACAGCTGACAGCGTGTGTTCGAGCTTTGACAGCGAAGTGCGGCACAAAGACGTTTCCGTGGAGACTGTGCGTGTACATATGATTTACGAGATTGTTTCAAATTTTTAATTTTTCTGTCGTTAAGTTATTGTTTGACACACGGGCGCTCAGTAGTGCCAAAAATAATTGTCCTTTTTGAATTGGTCACTCTGAAATTTTTATCGTTTCACTGTATTATACGTCAGAGCGTCAGTTTTATAGAATTTACAGAATTTGTCGTTTAATACTGTCAACTGTACTCAGAGTAATTTAGAAACCTTCGATCAGTTTACTGTATCGAAATGTTTGTGCAATATGTTTTGTATATATATATATTGAAATGAAGAAATATCGTATGAGATAGAATTGCCGCAAGCTAATTCTACAATTGACCCAAGAAAAAAAATTGAATGTATAACTTGAAGAACTCGATACTTGGTACCAACGTTGAAATTCGTTTTTCTATGATGAAATTTTCGTTACACCACGAGTTGAACAAAGTTTTGCCCGTCTCACGTGAAACCTCACGAACGAAATGCTAACTCCGAAATGATCGTTGTCGCTTTCTGTCGCCATGCTTCTGCCCCCATGTTATTCCCAAGACTCGATACATAAAAGACTCGCGGCGTAAATAGTAACGCTCTCGCGACGATAAACGGTGTGTCGAGGCTCGAAACACGAAAGCCGGCCGGAATCGATTGCGGTCCGTGGACTCTATTTACACGAGCCATGCGACTCACAATGCGCGTGAACGAGTTTCAATGCGGTCGCGGCTAGATTCGGCGTTGAATCACATTGAGACAGTGCACCATTCATCGTTAGATTATCTTGTTTAACTCCAAAAATCGTTGCAAACTTGGACACGGAGTTGACGGTAGCTTAGTGATTTTCAACGAATCCTTGTTGATTTCTCACACGGTTTTATCAGATTCGAGCAATATTCTTAGCTGTTCATCGAACTCGAACGATATTCGATCGGCTCACATTGAGTAAAACTTGACTGTTACTGTTACGTTTTTTGGAGATGTGGAGAACTCCACAGTAAATTTATTGAATGATACGGATTAGGTAAGAGAGACAAGAACTGGAAACTGAAACTGACCGATAGATGGAATTTTTTAATTAATTTTTGGACAATGTGTGGCAAGGGCAGAATTGAATTTTTGTGTCATCAAGTTGAATTTGTTCGGTATTTATGGCAAAGGATCGTCGAACTTCCTTCCACGTCATCACGCAAATTGTTCTTTAATACAGTGTTGCTGTTGACCGCACATGTTGCACCGATGAAACGCAGCTGACGCAATTTTTTGACGCATTTCCGTGTTGGTGCGCTTCGACAGGGTGGCTTGTAAGCTTGAAGAAAGCAGAGGCGTGTTTAAACGGTATTATTTAAAATGAATAGCCTTTAATATTGTGCGTAGACTATAGCAGTACTCGGAGTATCGATACGAAAGAACAAACTTTCGAGACAATAAACGATTTCTTGAAATTTCTTCAAAATAATTACAAATACTCGTTGGAAGCCTGTTTCACAGTCCCGATATTGAAAGATAATTCGCGCTAACACAACGCGCTGATCCTCGACAACCCTTATTCGTTTTACGTTTTGCGAACTCGAGTTCCAACCCGAAACTCTCCCGATCAAACTTCCTCGAGGTTCCATCTGCTGCAGCAGGCAAGCCGAATGAAACCTAGAGCCCTTAAAAATTCTAAAAACCAATCTTCAACTTTCTCCATAACGCCGATTGTCCAGGCGGTGAATCCTCGACAATTGCCTGCCGTGGAAATCCTGCTGGGAAAACATCGCGAAGTAACGACAATCGCGGAAGAAGGGCGGCAAGCGTCGTGCGCGGCGCAGCGACGTAACCTCGCGGGCCGATTTCGCAGCGGCGTAGTTATCGCGCAGAGTGTTTCTGGAAATCACGGTGGAAAAGCTCTCGCGGATTTGGCAACACTGTGACGCGCTGGGCGTCTCGCTAACACTCGACGGCGCGAAGGACGAGGGGGCCACACGACGATCGGGGCGAAAAACCGAGAGTGGCTTCGCGATGGTGGTGGGGAGGGCGGAACCGGGATGAGGTAGGGGAAGGTGCCGAAGGGACGCGCCAGACTGACGGCGGAATCGAGTGGTGGGGAGCGTGTCACGTGACGCGGCGTGGTGGGGGACAGGCGCGCGGAGTGGGGGCCGAGTGGGCGGGGCGAGTGGTTTCTCCTCCGTCGACGGTTCTCTCGGCGGGTGCAAAGCGCAGGTCGTCTCGAACGATCCGAACGAGGGACGACGCGGGGATGGTGGAGGGGGCGGCGGCGAGGGGGTCGAGGGGGACGCGCGGAGTGATGCTCGTGACGCTAGCTAGCGCGAATTTTGGCACAGCTCGTGAAAATTTCTCACTCGGCTTTTCGCGGAAAACTCGGACGGCTCTTGACACGGCCAATCGGCTTGAATTATGACTGATGAAGTGCCGTTCCGGATTAATGGAGAAAACCGGCTGTCGTGGTTCAGCGCGCCGCGTTTCCACCGGCCGACTCACGGCATGCGAATTTCATCGTGCGGAGCCGGCTCTCGAATCTCTTCAGAGGAGACTGAAATCGGAGACGCGTGGAATTCTTGTGATACTGGTAATATCGGTTCGCGTAGTTTGCTTTGTCCAGTTGTTTGTCAGATGGAGCGAGTGAATTTGAAATCTGACTCGACTGGAAGATCCTAAGAGTGTTTTGGGAACCTTCCTCTGAGAGCGCGGCTATAACCAACCTCCGGGAGAAACTCGAAATTTTTATCGTGACAACCTGCAAACACTCTTTATCAGGCATCCCCGCGAGTGCGTCGCGAAAAAAACAGGCTGGTTTCGTCGGTGGGTGCGCAGCAACGTGTCAATCGGCATCGTTCTGGACAGCGAAGCTTCGAGCAACGTCGACCGTTTCCATCCCCTCTCTCCGTGGAATCCCCGCTCGACGACTCGGTGTCGCAGGGAGGGTGGTGTTAATGGGCGTACTCGCGGTTAACACCCTTAAACGCGCGCTGGTGGGGAGTGAGGAGGGGAAAAAAGAGAGAGCGAGAGAGAAAGAGAGTGAGACAGAGAAGAGAGAAGAACATCCGAAGCGTTGTGTAGAACCGAGGTTCTCGGTGGGGATAACGAAGACAGAGAGGGAGAAACGGGGTTGATCGAAGCGAGATGGGGAACGTCGGAAAAGGCGTCGAGAGCAACGCCGCTCGGATTGGCGCCGGAACGCCAATCCGAACTACGAGCGCTCATTATCGCCCGCCGTGGGAAGTGGTGGGGGTTTGGTAGACAGCTCTGTCCCTCCTCGTTGTTCGCGCGACCTGTTTAGTCCCGTTCTTGTCACACGCGGTGCTGCATCGTCGACTAGGTTGTCGCGGCGGGTTCTCCCACCAGAACGTGTACACGAACGGTCGAAGGGGAAGGGAGGAGGAGCCCCTGCACCGTCTCAGTCTTCGCGTCGCTGCCCTCCAGCATTCACGCCTCCCGCGTCCGTTCGGCGGCGCAGGCACACTCCGTTCCGTCTGTACACACACGCACACACGCGGCTGCCCCCCGTCTACACGTAGACGCGCGCGTACACACGCCCTGAATCCGGACGAGGACTTTAGCACACCAACACCTCCGCGGGAGGTGTGGGGGTGAGCCCCCAGAGGAGGTGTCAATCCTAGCGCTGCTCAGTGACCATCGCGGCGCCACCCAAGTAACACCTTTCGTCCGCTCTCCAGCCCCGACCGAGGCGACCAGCGCGCACAGCACCCGAGCACCGTGTCTCTCGTTCAGAGAGCCCTCTCTCTCGCTTCGCTCTCTCGCCTTTTTGTCTCTCTCGCCTGGCGTTTTGCGCGTCACGATATAGAAGCTAGTCCGGACTGTCCTCGTCCTCCGGCCTGTGTCGTCCGGCCGTCGGACGCTGCTTCGACTCGACTCGACTCGATTCGACTCAACTCGACGAGAGTCGAGTCTGTTGCCTTCTCCCCAAGACACAACGACGAGAAGCGAGTTTGCTACCCGGTCTGGCCGCGTGTTCGCGTCGCGTCGCGTCGCGTCGTGTCTACCCACATCGTCGTCGTCGTCGTCGTCGTCGTTGATACTTTGTAATCGAGGAAGTGAGTGCTTCGCGGAACTGACCTCTGTCAGTGGACGACAGTCAGTGAGTCAGTGAACAGTGAACGACGCAAGGATTTACGTGCACCACGTCCCTCGACGTGCACGTAACCAGTGGGTGCTTGTTCGTAGCAGTCGGTGTTTCGGGCCACGGTGTGACTCTGTCTAAGCGCCACCGCCGATTCTACGGGGGAGATCGTCGACTCGAGTGGATCGACAAAGTGTACCCTCTGAAATCGAAAGCCGGATGTAAAGTTCCACGGACGACGCAACAGTGGACACATCTCAGAGAATCGTTTCCTTCTTTTCCTGGTGCTTGAAGCCTTCGAAGTGGCGTTCGAAGCGTACGAAGATAGCCAAGGCAACAAGGTGCACGAGACGTGTACGATGTCGAGCGTACGACTGCTGGCGACGGTGATCGAGGGAAGCTCGGATCGACTGCGACGACGACGCAGCCAGGATCTCGACTTACGCTTCTGAACGTCTGGTACGTTCCTCGCACAACTCCCTCTCGTCGAACCTTGTCTAGCATGCCGAAGAATCGACGTACACGATTAGAGACGTACACGACGGTCGACAACGCGGCTTGGAGGAGATCAGCGTGATCGAGCCGTGCCAAGTGTAAACCCGAGATCGAGAAATTCAACCCAAGTGTGTCCGTGCTCTGAGAGCTCCGCGCGTGGTTGAAAGCGCAGAAAGTAATCGTTCGATTGTGCGAAACTATCCTCGTTGAACGCCAGCCAGATAAACGACAAACATCGAACCAACGAACTGACGAGAGAATAAAGAAGAAGAAGAAGAAGAAGAAGAAGAAGAAGAAGAAGAAGAAGAAGAAGAAGAAGAAGAAGAAGAAGAGTAGCGCTCGCCCGGCTTTGAGTCACTCGAAGAGGAATCTCGCGCGACTCGGCAGACCCGCCCGTCTCGATGAGATTCGAACAAGACACAGCGTGCAGGGGTACCCACTGCGCCAGCACTCCGCAACCCTCCGCGCTACAGCAGCGATCACGGCTCGAGGAGGTGGTGGAGGAGGAGGTGGACTCCTCCGCGAAGGACATCGACGGCCAACGACGTAGACGCAGAGAATTGGAGGCTAACGTGGTCGAGGGTGCAAACACGGGGCCGAGGGCCGAGGCGGGGGGGCCTGGGATGGCGTACCCCGCGTCAGCGACGGCTCTGAATCAGCACTCGGCCTTCGCCACCTCGATCGCTGGCACGCCGTCCAGCAACCCGAACGGACACATATCCGGCGGCCACCTGCCGGCGCCGGCCGCCCCCCGACCCACCGACTTCAGCGTCTCGTCGTTGTTGACCGCCGCCACGACTCACCCGCCGATCTTGGGCGGCTCGTCGTCGCAGGGAAGCGCGTCGCCGCCGCCCGGCGGACCAGGAAGCCCGGCCGCCGCGCCGGAAACACCGCCACCGTTGCCAAGCCAGAGGGAATTGTCGCATCCGTCCTCGGCGGTAGCAGCGGCCAGCTATTTCAGCGCTGCCGCCCTCGCCGCCGCTGGATTCTACAATCCGGCGGCGCATCTGCCGGCGACTAGCTCGCCTGGACCGACGGCCCATCATCTACAGGGCAAGGGGATCCTCACCAGCCCCCATCATCATCCGCATCTTAACCCTCACGGCATCACGCCGCCAGGTATGACACACTGCGGAAAAAGAATGTGTGTGTGTGTGTATGTGTGTGTGAGAGAGAGAGAGAGATTACGATCAGACGGTCGAAGTGTTTCTGTATTGCTAGGCTTCGGTAGGATAGCTGTTTCAGTGTGTTGAGGAAAGTGTGACGAAACGACGATGGTGCAGCTCCTCTGGTTTAGGTCAGATTCAGTGTAACAGAGTAGCAGGCAAGAGAGTAATCGATGATCCGTTGACGTCTTAGTTGATGGACTATTCTTTTTTTGTGTTTTTTTTTTCTTTTTTTTTTTTTTTGGTGTCAAAGATTGGAGGTTTAGGCCTACATTAGGTTTTAGGACAGAAACAATCTTCAGTTTGTTGCGTAGGAACAATCTTGCGGGTTGTTCTGATTTCGAGAAGTTGATGAAGAAGGTTGGAACATGTTCCAAGGAGATAGTTTGTCAAACTTGTAGGGTTGAAACACCTTTCGAGCTTGAGTGTTGAACTTTGAAACAATCTTGAGTCCATTGTATATCGTACAGATTGTTTTGGTGTAACAGCTGAGAATTTCGAGTTGACAGAGGTTAAACACATGTTCCAAGGAGATAGTTTGTCAACGTTGTAGGACTTGTAGGTGTATTTCGAGTTGACAAAGGTTAAAACATGTTCCAAGGAGACAGTTTGTCAACGTTGTAGCACTTGTAGATGTTTCGAGCTTTTAGGGTTGAAGTTTAAAACAATCTTGAGTCCATCGTATGTTGTACAGATCGTGTTGGTGCGATAGCTGAAAATTTCGAGTTGACAGAGAAGGTTAGAACATGCTCCAAGGAGACAAAAGATGGAGAGAGTTTGTCAACGTTGTAGGAATTACGAGTGCAACCTTGTCGAGGTTTTCAGCTTGAAGAGAAAGGTTGAAGTTTCTTCAGAAAGAACAGAGGAACGGTTAGGTGGTTAATGTTGCGAGAATTGTTCTTGGTTGCTTCAAGTAGACGAGATTAAAGTACTTTCCCCAAGGCGGTAGGTTTCAGAAATCTACCAAGATAGAAGAATTCTAAATATTTTAGAGAAGATTGGAATACATTTCGAGGAACAACAATTATACTCCACGTTCCAAGTATAACAAGTGTAACAAGTGTTCTGAATTGACAAAGGAGGATTGAAACTTTAAAATTGCTAAAACAGTCTGTTTCTCAACAGTATGTCAAACTTCTAATCGAAGTTTCGAGTGAAATGACTTAGTTTACTTAGAAGATTCTGAGTTAATAGAAAAGGTTGGGGCACATTCATGAAAACGACAAATGAAAAAAAAAAAGTTTGTCAACGATTTTGAGAAGTTATACCTGCAATTAGTGTTTGGACGTATCGTTTGCTTAACAAGTTAAAAGGCAAGTTCAAATCTCTTTTGGAGAACTGCGTTGAAACAGTGTTTCAGATAGAATCAGAAGATTGATCTCGGAATATTCAGAACGTAGTGCTGGTTGTAGATGGATAAAGAGGTGAACAGTTGTTAGAAAAAAGAATTGGACACGAGAGAGCCACGACAAAGTGGCAATGATACAATCGCTACTTTGCTAACATCACACGAATCATCCTTAAACCATCTATATTGCCGGGCTTATCTTCAACGGAATCGTTGAACAGAAGCTCCATTTCCCATGAGAAATCTCCATTTAACGCCACATTGTGTTCATCCTCCAACCCGTTAATCGTTTTACCAAACAAGAAACACTTTATACGAAGCTACACTAGGAGAATCACCTAGAATCCCATTAAACGGCCCCGAAACATCTGTCTAATCAGATTCTCGCTAACCATTCTCGTCTGACTAATTGTTCGACCGCTGGATGTTCTGTCCGGTTTCGTCGTTGCATTCTCGCGACAATTGAAAAAGAAAAAAGAACGTGGCTCGGACAGAAGCTTGTTACATCTGCTATAAATGTTTCAAGGAATGCATCGCTTTGAATATTTTCTATATATATATATATTTTTGCACTTCGCGTGTATTTTTTTTTTTTTGTACCTCTGAATATTCCCGTGAAAATGATTCAGAAAATCGAACCTCGATGTAAGAATTATCCAGTCGAATGTTACACAGGGAATCTTGAATTATCCGTGAATATTTCGTATGTTTTATATTACGGATATTACGCGAGTATCGTATAGATATTTTCACGCTGAACGAGAAAGAAACACGGTTTCTATAATTTACGCAAAATTCGAAGCATCCAGATGCTTTCTGAAACATTTGGGAATTTCTCTCATCGAGCTCTACTCTCTTAACCTCGCGTTGAGAATTTTTTTCTTCCAACATTGTGTAATATCTTCTCAATTTTAAATATATTTAAGTGAAACAAAATAGGCGAAACAAGTAACAAATTTATTAATTGTCAATAGTTTCTATCCAGTGATGTCATACCGACGAGTTCAAAAAGGAAAGCGACGATCTGTTGTGTACGATTTTGGTCATTCGTTATGGTCCGCAATCAGTTGCCAAGTGGTTAACCTCTTACGCTGTAATAACGTGCCACGCACGTTGAGAGCCTTTTGCTCCAAAATTGCAATATTTTCTCAGTTTCAAGTATATTTAAATATAATCCAGTGAAACAAATAATAAATTTGTCGCTTCTCAATAATTTCTATCCGGCGGTGTCATATCGACGAGTTCAAAAAGGAAAGTGACGATCTGTTGTGTACGATTTTGGTCATTCGTTATGGTCCGCAATCAGTTGCCAAGTGGTTAACCTCTTACGCTGTAATAACGTGCCACGCACGTTGAGAGCCTTTTGCTCCAAAATTGCAATATTTTCTCAGTTTCAAGTATATTTAAATATAATCCAGTGAAACAAATAATAAATTTGTCGCTTCTCAATAATTTCTATCCGGCGGTGTCATATCGACGAGTTCAAAAAGGAAAGTGACGATCTGTTGTGTACGATTTTGGTCATTCGTTATGGTCCGCAATCAGTTGCCAAGTGGTTAACCTCTTACGCTGTAATAACGTGCCACGCACGTTGAGAGCCTTTTGCTCCAAAATTGCAATATTTTCTCAGTTTTAAGTATATTTAAATGTAATCCAGTGAAACAAATAATAAATTTGTCGCTTCTCAACAATTTCTATCCGGCGATGTCATGCTGACAGATTCAGAAAGAAAAGCGACGATCTGTTGTAAACAGAGTAACCTGTTGTAAGGTTTGGTCACTCGTTACGGTCCGCAATCAAAGTTGCCAGCGCAAGTGGGGTTAATCGTGCCTTCGGAAACTACAAATCTGCATGAAAATCCACCATTCGTTCATCAAATCATTGAAATATAATACTGCCCTAAACGTAGATCGCATAGCCTTTGTTTTCGTTCGTTTCTGTTGAATTTGTTTCTACAGATATTCAAACAACCGAAATTTATTTTGCGAAAACGTCACTCGGACTTTGCGTTCCTTCTCGCGTTTCATTTGGCAAACACTCGAGAAACCTCGGGGTCCACGTCCGAGGGACGAGTCGTGCCGTTGATAAGGAAATCTGATAAACAGATAGGAATCTGATAAACATCTTGTCCGAGAGCGAGGAAAGGACGGATCAGATGGTGCTGGGACGAGCAGTCCTCGTAGATCTTGCTTCCGACTGCCGGCTGGAATCGGAATTGAGACGTAAAACGCACGGTGGCAGCGAGTGTGTTTAATTCAGGGGCTGGGAATACCGACGAGAAACGAGATGCTTCACTGGACGATAACACGCGAGTGCTGGATTCTCGTTAAGAATTGTTTCGACTAGAACTCGCGGCAAACACGTTGCTGAAACTTGAAATTGGAAGCCAACCGTGCCGCGGGATTTCTTGAATCGGCGGAGGACATGCTAGGATCAAAAGTTTTTGCGACATCGCCAAGTTTCTCTGTTCCCCTGTGCCTGTGGGGAAGGATTGGCTCCTTCTTCTTTGGGAAATCGAGTGAAAAATTTGCGACTCGGAAGGATCGGCGATATTTACTGCGTGAAGTTGAAACTTTCGTGAATTTCCAAGGGTCATTACAAGTTTCGAGGGGAAAGACGCGCAGAGAGGAGGGATTGTTTGAGCGTCGAAATTCACAATCGTCGAATTTACTTTGAGGAAAGTTCGAGCAGTTTTTATGAATTTCCGAGGCGATGCTCCAATTTGTGCTGCGTAGATTGATGCGGGGATTCCAAATTTAAAAAGTCAAACTGCAAGTCTCTCGGAGTAGTTCTAACAGTCGAAACATCGTCGAACTTCAAAATTATTTTCCTTGAGACAAGCTGTATTTGACCGCCCTGCTTCAAACCAGATCAAACTTCAACATACTCTTTCCTCAGACTTCAAATTCACAATTCGTTTGGACTTGTCTGAGGATTCTACCTCAAACTAAACACCGTCACTTCTCAGATTACTCTCTACGAAATTCTCTACTCATTTTGGAATTTCATACGTCTCAAACTTTCCTGTCTCCTCGTCAAACCCGCCAGTTCCTCATAATCGAAAAAAAACCAGAGAAAATCGCTGAAATATGCGACAATGAAGCCTTCGATTCGGAAGAAAAAAAAAAATCAGGCGGACATTTAATTGGCCACAGTTTATTTCACGAGCGACAGCGTCGAACTTGTTGCGCGCGGTTTGCGCAAACCGCCGCGATTTCGGCGCGAAATTCGCCGATACGCCGCTCACTTTCACTGCTTTTTCGAGATCGTGGAGATCGGGATACGTCCCTCACTTCGCCGATGAAGGCTCACCGATCGTTTCGACGTAATCGTAGCACGGTTTTCTAACGATCGATCGATCGCGGATCGAGAGATGGACGTCTGCCACGCGATACGGCCGTTTCATCGCCTATTCATCCGCGCCGCGGATACATTTTGCTCGCGACGCGACGTTTCGCGTTCGTTCGGCTTCGTTCTTGCCTCGCGGTTACCTGTCGCTTTTGTTGGACGAGGTTGTTACCGGTATCTGCTGGTTTGGAATGGTTTTCTCTGGTTTTAGACTGGCCTCGCGCGACCACGATTCTGCGATCGTTTGTGAACGATTG